CCAATCACCCGCGATCGGACTGCAAATTCCTCGACGCACTCTGCCGTTCCTGTGGAAAGAGAGGCCACATCGCAAAGGTTTGCAGAAGCAAGCGAGCGTCAAGCCCAATCCGAAGAACAACGGGCAGCCCACCTGTAAATCGTGACCGTCTGAATCACCAATGGAACCACTATCACTACAGAAATCGAGCGCCTGCTGCGTCAGCTAGGCGAGAAGAGGCGCATCAAACCATTACCATTGGTCACGCATCATCCTTGGATGCAAGAAAAATCCAAGTGAAGGTCGCTATTGAGAATCATCCATGCGTAATGGAAGTAGACTCGGGATCGTCCCTATCAATGGTCTCGTGGAAAACCTTCAAACAACTGATCCCTGACATCCGTCGCCAGGATCTCAGCACCCAAAAAATCATATTAAGGGACTACCAGGGAAACAGGATTCCCGTTGCCGGTTCCCGCAACGTCCAGGTGTCCTTCAAGGACCACACCGCTACTCTGCCTATTACCATCGTCGATCGAGACCGACCCAGCTTGTTGGGGTTACAGTGGTTCGCCCCACTGGGAATTGAACTAGCTGGCATTCACCAGACCGGGAACAGCAACTGGGAAGCGGCCCTCGTCCAGGAGTTCCAGGACGTGTTCACCGAGAAGCTAGGCAAGTACAAGGGATCCCCCATATCGTTTAGCCTCAACCCCGATATCGCACCCATCCGCCTTAAGCCTCGTCGAGTGCCCTTCGCACTCAAGCCAAAGATTGACGAACAATTGGACAAATTAATAGCTCAGGGGGTGTTAGAACCGATCGATCACGCCCGTTGGGAAACCCCGATTGTAACTCCCATAAAACCTGATGGATCGATAAGAATTTGTGGGGATTACCGGGCCACCCTAAATCACGCGCTTCAGCAGAGCGCTTACCCGGTACCTGTGGTCCAACATCTTCTTCGCTCCCTGGGTGGCGGAAAAATATTTGCAAAATTGGACCTCGCCCAGGCATACCAGCAACTACCCGTAGATGCAGAAACTGCTGAGGCCCAGACTATAGTCATGCACAGAGGTGCGTTTAAATGTAATAGACTCCAGTTCAGAGTGAGTGTAGCACCAGGCATTTTCCAAAGCCTGATGGAGAGACTACTACAAGGCGTAAAAGGAGTCGTGCCTTATTTCGATGACGTATTGATAGCTGCCCCCACTAAAGACGTATTAGAGAAACGACTCAGAACGGTCCTTCAGAAATTCAAAAACGCCGGGTTAAAAGTAAAAAAAGACAAGTGTCAACTTTGTACTGAGAGGGTTGAATTCCTGGGGTACCTTCTTGACAAAAAGGGAATCCATCCCACTGAGAAAAAAGTAATGGCGATAAAAAACGCCCCAAGACCCAGGAATAAGACAGATCTCCAAGCCTTCCTAGGACTCATTAACTTTTATAACATCTTCTTGCCCCAAAAGGCGACTGTAGCTGAGCCCCTACATAGACTACTCGACAAGAAGGCTTCCTGGGTCTGGGGACACCGGGAAGAACGAGCCTTCCAGCAAGTTAAAGATCTCTTAACCTCAGATGCTGTATTAATGCAGTATAACAAGACTTTGCCTTTAACGGTCACCTGCGATGCTTCACCGTTTTGGGTAGGAGCCATCTTAAGTCATGTCCTACCAAACGGAAATGAAGCACCTGTTGCCTTCTTTTCATGAACTTTATCAAAGACTGAAAGAAACTACAGCCAACTTGATAAAGAGGCTCTTGCTATTGTATCCGCTATTAAACGCTTTCATGAATATGTATATGGCAGACCATTTACCATAATAACCGATCACAAGCCATTGCTGGGTATTTTAGCGGGAGACAAACCAACTCCCCACATATTATCCCCAAGAATGACCCGTTGGTCAGAGTTTCTAGCCGCATACGATTATCAACTGCAACACCGCCCGGGGAAAGCCATTCCCCACGCTGACGCCTTAAGTCGTTCTCCGCTACCGGAAGCCATAGACGATCCGGCTCCAACTTTAACTGCACTCCAAATCGAAACTCTCCCTGCACCACCCCTGACTGCGCGAGACATCGCCACGGAAACAAAAAAGGATCCTGTATTCGCTCGAGTCCTCAGCTGGGTGGAACGAGGTTGGCCTGACACCGAACCCAACGACACCGAACCCAATGACACCTTCGCGCCGTTCAAACACCGACAGACAGAACTGTTTTCCCAGAAGGGCTGCATCTTGTGGGGAGACAGAGTCGTCATTCCCGAAAAATTACAACATACAGTTCTAAAACTGTTGCACGATGGTCATCCAGGCATCGTGCGAATGAAGGCATTAGCAAGAAGTTACGCATGGTGGCCAGGTATCGATAAACAGATAGAAGCCTGGGTGGCCACATGCAACAAGTGCCAGGAAATCCGCGCTGCCCCACCGAAGGCACCTCCAACTGAATGGGATGCACCTCATGGTCCTTGGTCCCGCATCCACATTGACTTTGTGGGACCCACCAAGGGACACACTTTTCTCATAACTGTGGATGCCTATTCCAACTGGCTCGAAGTCCACAAAATGAAGAGCACCACCACAGATGCCGTCATTAAAAAATTAAATAGACTATTCTCTACGCACAGATTGCCTGAAGTTTTAGTCTCAGATAACGGTCCCCAATTCACTGCCCTGGCATTTGAACAGTACCTAGCCGACCAGGGCATCCGCCATGCCTTAACTTCGCTGGCTCACCCTGCGGCCAATGGCAGGGCTGAGCGCATGGTCCAATTCATCAAAAAGACCTTGCACAAGATGGAACATGGAGACATTGACGACAAAATAACCAGAATGCTTCTCCTCCAACACATCACCCCGCACAGCATCACAAACAGAACCCCGGCCGAACTTCTGATGGGCTGGAAACTTCGCTCACACCTCGATCGCCTGCACCCAACCTACACGCCAGAAAAACCTTCCGGTTCCAGCAGCAAGTGCCGTGCGTTCAAGGTAGGCGACTTAGTCTTTGCGAAAAACTTCTCGGGTGATCCATTGTGGGTCCCCGCTACTATAACTCAAATTACGGGCCCCAGATCTTACCGCCTACAAACTAGCGATGGGAAATTATGGAAGCGCCATATAGACCAACTTCGTTCCCGATTGGCACCTAACCCGATCTCAACCCCTGAATCTCAAACTGGGGGGGGAAGGGAAACCGAGGGGGCCGAAATAGAATTAGCAAACGACCCGCTAACTGACGCCCAGCAGTCTGCACAATCAACCATGGGATACTCACCTTCCGGAGGAGGACCGAGCCGGGTGATTGTTTCGCCACAAAGCAGCCCGGCCATAGAAGCAAGTCCAGGAACCCGGATGACAACAGAGAGGACAGCCCTGAGTCCCCAAGCAAAACAGTGGAACCGTTTTCGCCCACTGATTCTACTAACAGCCCACCGGAGTCCGCACCAGAGCAGAGACCGGTGGAACAGCGAAAATCGAATAGACAGGTGAAACGGCCTGCCTACTTGCGAGAATACGTCACCCCACCCCTAAGACGGAACCTAGGGGGAAGGGGTGTTACGAACTAAGCAAACTCATTTGACAATAACTATGCTAGCTTGTTTCAGCAGCAGGCTTGTAATCCTGCACTTCGGATTGGCCCGCGGATAAGCGAATCGTGCTTCTGGCTGATCTGATTGGCTGACAACGGGCCGTCTCTGATTGGACGCTTTTAGAGCGGTTAGTTCAATTTCATTGGTTGTTGTGACAGCAGCCAGCTCTATAAAAGAGCTGCTGCTGCTCTAATTGTTGCTCTGTTCTGAAGTCACTATTAAAGAGTTGAACGGAGTCACTATCGATGCCTCGTCTCCGTTATTGCGCCCACTCCTCCAGACTTAACACTTTTGATCATGGGTACTGAATACTTCATAATAATTAAAAGTGCCTGCTCACTGTTAATGAGATGGTAAATGTATTTCCCTGTCCCCTACACTTTTTTGGAAAGAGAATCAGAAATTTAAAATATTCAAACAGAGAATATGTTTATACTTCACATTTCTAGTTGTTTTCAATAAACAATATAAATTCTAATATAATTTCCAATATAAATTGGAAATTTGATAGTTAATTATTCTTTGATATTGAAACATTATGATATGTAATAATGATTATTTTGCATTAATAAGTAAATTACAGAATTAGAAGTTAATACAATATTTCTACTTGGAAATTTTGCTTGATATGCACATAAAAGCAAAAAAAATCTATCAACTCTCCAAATTTAAATTGACTTACCAATTTACAAACTTTTAACAAGTAATGTTGAAAGCATCATCTTTTTTTCCAGACCCAGTGTAAAACTTGAAAATAATGTACATAAGCAAAAGTGATCTTTCTTTATGAAGAATTGTTCAAGTTCTGAAAAACTCCTAATCAACTTTTTTTTTAAAAGGTCAAAAACCACTTCTTTTAAAAACAATTCTTTGGCATTTTCATCATAGGTTTCTTAAGTCTCTTGATTGAAGCCAGTGGACTTTATTATATAAATACAGTGCAAATTGTCAAAACACTTCAAAGTCAGTATTTTATCTTTCACTGCACATTTGATTTCTCAGCATGTATAACAACCTGATAACTTCCAGACAGTAAATAAGTTGGGAAAGTTTCAGTTCTGCAGATTAGTGATAATGATATTATAATTTAAGAGTTATAATTAACTTGTGATAATTAACTTGCTCTTATATAGCATATAGAGCTGGATAGATCCTGAGCAACTTTTAAAATTGCGTCAGTATACTGCAGCTCAGATAAAGCATGAGCATATGAAAGAGAAACTTTGGCCATATGAGTCATATCTTGGGTAGCATGCTAGCTATGCCTTTGGCAAGATTTGCATCAGTGCTACATCAGTGTACCAAAATAAAAAGAAAGGAGACTTAAAATGAATTGAAATGTTCCAAATTAAATCATACTAACATGGTTCAAATGCATATTGTAGCATCTTGATTCTTGAGAAATAACTAATTATGTAAAGACCATTTTGATCTCATATAGAATTTTGAAAATTTATCCAAGCTAGTCCATAATGATCTGGATATAATTTGTAGCCTTGATCTGAAGTAAAATTTGACAAAACCTGTAATCAAGCATGAAAGAAAACATGACATTTTGATTTCTCAGCACAATAAATCAAATTTTAGAAGGGAATAGAGTACACTAAATTTATAATGTTGGTGCAAAGGTATTAGGCTTTAGATAATTTCATTTTTGACAACCTGAAATTTTGTTTTGTGGTATAATGTGATTAAATGTGCAGCAATAATATGTTCCATAGGGAATATTCAATTCAAATGATTGAATAAATGATTAAGTAATAAATAAAAACATTTTTTGTCAAATCTAGATTAGCTAGCTGTGACAAATCAGAAAAGACAACCACATGGCTGTTCAGAATTAGAAGAAAGAACAATGACCAATAATTCAAAAATGGCACTGCAATCACTCTGAATGGAGAACAGATATGTCTATCACTGATATTTAATAATTTTCCACTCCACTTCCTCCCCACCATTTAAATTTTACATATACAGCAAAAAGTATTATTTTCTGCAAAAATTTACAAATGCATAACACAATTAAACTGAGCGCCAGAATCAAAAGGAAGTGCCAGATTCAAAAGGAAGTGCAACTAAATTGATCAGCTCAATTCATAAGGCCTCTGATAGCATCAGGTTATTGGGAAATACTTTGGTACTGTTCTGTCCTCACTACACATTAGTCAGTGTGCAGCTTGACATGCAGCTAAATCCACTATCCTTTGTCTCTCTGGCCACTGGATGAGCAACAACAGTATATAAAACTTTTCAATTGGTGATTCAGTTGTAAGGGAGGTAAATATAGGAAATGATATGGAGGTTTTGAAAGAGGTCAGGTATCTGCCAGATGCTACTGCCAGCAGAGACAAGAGGTGTAACTTTAAGATAGTCAAGTAAGAACTGTGACGTTAATGCTATTATCCACCTTGGCACAAATGATCTGTCCCAAAAAGATGTACTTTCTGTGAAGAATTATTTCCAGAGCTTGGGGTACAAACAGTAGTATAGGCTGTAGGCTTACCTTTTCAGAGGTTTTACCAGTATACAAAGAACAAAAGAAAAAGGCCAGTGTATAACGGAGCTTAATGTATGGCTAAAGGAATGGTGTAAAAGGCAAGGCTCTGATTATATTAGTCATGATGTCTGCAGCTGGTCCAATGAAAAACTGTACATAAGAGATGCTTTGCATCCATCAAAGAAAGGGACTGAGTTACTTGGCATTAAATTCACAGGTTTTCTAGATAAACATTTAAACTGAACAGTGGGGACAGAGAATTAATTAACACAGAACATTTCTGTCCCCACCAATCTAAAATTAATAGGATTATTAGTGCATATAACATAGATGTTAATGTGGCTAAGAATATCAACCTTGCTGTCAAGGAAAAACAAGCATTTAATAGCGAGTACCACACCATGTGCACTAATCAAACAGGTGGTAAAGCAGTAAGGGACAACACAGGTTATGTAGAAAGTAAACACAGGGTCAGTCAAAATGGACTCAAATGTCCATTTGGCAAATGTAAATTGTCAATAAGGTATGTATCTAAAGATTCATCTTAATTCTATGAAATATATAATTATTCCTTGAAAAAAGTACCTTGTTTAAAAGATATAATTATGTAATTCTGTATAGCTGAGGTAAAGAATGTATCAAGTGTGAAAGAAAATATTCAACAATTTGTGGAGAAAAACAAATGTGATATGCCTTCAACATTTACATATTCTTTTCAACTTTGATGTCATCCTTCCCAGATAACCAAGCAGGATACATAACTAGATGAACTAATTATGTTTTACAGTAAGGCTACATTAACAATTTTTGTAGTCTGAAAGTACAAACTTCCTGTCACTACTTTTAACCATATAAAAGTTAGGAATGTCTTTCCTCATTATTTTTTCTGACCACTAAGCTGCTGACAGCTCCTGCCTCTCTTGTCTGATTACTTCCTGGGCCAGTGGTGGCAAACCTTTTTCAGCTCCCGTGTCGATAATTGTGCACATGCTCACACTCACATGCCAGCACCCAGAAGGAAATGTGTGCTGTGCCCCCACACCCCCTGCGCATGTGTGCACGATCCCCCTGCAGCAAGCCATGTATCTATGCATACAGGCACAACCCCCTGCAGTACGCTGCGCATCTGCACATGCATGCACAATCCCCTTGCCGCACGCTGCGCATCTGCGCATGCATGTGCAATTCCCCCACTGCGCGCCGTGCCTGCATGCACGATTCCCCCTCCACGCACAGCACATCTCTGTGCATGCACATGCGTGCCTTTGGACTGTAACAATTCAAAAACAGATATAAATTTGTGATCCATCCTTTTAGTGGCAAATTGGAGAAGCCTGAATTAATAAAAATGGCTGTATGAGATTAAACCATTATATTCCATTTATCATTTTGATCTGATCTATGCTGATCTTTTTCATAATATACACTAACCTAGGCACAGAGCCTCCTTTGAACAGAAAGGCAATAACACATTTTGCATCTGGCATTAAGTTCTTAAAAAGTATATATAACCAGTAGAACACTCCCATGTGGGTTCTATGACGGAAATAAGGAAAAAGGACAGTTGCTTGGCACAGAACTTTAGTAAGTGCAACCTAGACATAACACCTAGTTATCATTTTCACCAAAGTAGAGGTAATAACTGGTTTCTTAAAACTGGTTTTCTTTTCAGCTGGTTTACATGCAATGGATAAGAAGGTGAAGGCTGCCACTCAGAAAAAGCCTTCTGGTTCTCTGAATCCATGGAATGATTGGTAAAGTTAGACAACCAAAAATTATAAAAATGTAAACGTATGTGAGAAAGACCTTGAGAAATAGGGCTACTGTTTAGGGATTTGTAAGTTAAGAGAAGGCCTAGCCCACAGCTGCATAATGAAAGGAAAAATAAACCTAATTTTTTAGATTGAAAAGAAAATAGCAAAAGATTTGGATTTTTAGACTTACAAGTTCAATTAATGTAGCCTTACAATAAAATAGTTTTTATTGGTTATGGTTATGTTTCCTGTCTGGTCTCTCTGAGAAGATTGACAAAAGAAGTTCCTCCATCCTACACCCACTTTTCTTACTATTTTTCAGATGGCTGGCAAAAGCACAGTTCTAAACACCATTTCTCCTGTTTCATTCATAGCCTTTGTAAAATCCCCCAATGTGGCAGCTAGGATTTAAAAAAATAATAATACTTGCATATATTGGTCCTAGTAGTCTTCCTGAAGATAGATATTCCCATCTCAAAAAGAAAAGAAAAAGAAAAATTTGACTAGTCACTAAGACAGATAAGTGTATGTGTTGAAACGAAAGACTGGGAGACAGACAGCTACTATCAGAAGCCAGATTTTTACCTACCAGGTCTCCAGTCCCATGGATTAGTTCCAGAGATTTAGTAAGAAGAGGTTCTTTTCCACCTTCCCCATACTTCTCATCTCATTTTTAGGTTGGGAAGAGAAGTGGTACAGAGTAAGGAATAACTGTTAACTGCCATTTCTCTAATCCCATAGGAGCTAAAAAGTTGTTTCTTCCTCTGCTTCTCTTGTCATTTACTGAGCCCACCTAGCTTGGGGAGCTGCTGCCAAATCTGGTCCAGGGGAAAGGGAAGTTGAGAGACATGGCAACACAAGGAAACAGCTGAGTTTGAAATATCTGGGCTTTCCCACTGCGAAAATAGTGCTCAATTACTGTAGAAGAGAATTAAGGAGAATCCAACTAAGGAAAATTCATCACCACTAACACCAAAGTAGAAATGTTGTGGATTGTGTTGCAAGATAAGAAACACTACTTTAAAACTGAGACAACTCACTTCGAAAGTAAGCTGCCTTTGCAGCCCTGCTATGGATGAGACCAGGGCAATCATTCCTTAAATTCTTATTTTATTCATCAGTAACAAATCCTAAAAATGTTAAAATAGAAAAGAAGCATAAAAGAGCCAAGAAACAAGGAAAATATTAATCAAACTTACATTTTTAAAATTACCACGAGGAAAAAAAACATAATTCAGGTAGTCGACATATAACAGTTCGTTTAGTGATCATTTGCAGTTACAATGGCACTGAAAAAAGTGATTTATCACCATTTTTCACACTTACGACTGTTGCACATCTCTATGGTCATGCGATTTACATTTGGATCCTTGACAACTGACTCACATTGTCCCAGAGTCATATGGTCCCCTTTTGCGACTTTCTGACAAGCAAAATCTGTGTGAAAATGATTCACTTAAAATTATGTTATTAATTTAACAACTGCAGTGATTCGCTTAACAAATGTGGTGAGAAAAGTTATAAAATGGGGCAAAACTCACTTAACAAAGTTGATCTCAATTGTGAATTGAAGACTACCTGTACAGTAATCAAGTGTATATGCATGTGTATGTATACATACACAACACACACATAAACACATCAAACTAAACTGTATGGAATCATATTTCCAGTTTTTCTATTCCATTGATAAAATTATAAAGAGAAAAAACTAAACATAATGCAATAAGCAGATGGGTATGCATGTGCGTGTACATATATATATGCATACACATACTTATACATATGCACATATACATAGAGAACAAATAAAAAAAACCTTGACTGCATGGAATCATATTTCCAGTTTTTCACTTCCATTGACCAAGAGCTTATTCTAAGGCTGAAAGTGCACATAAATTCATTTAACATCTGGAGTACAGGTTTAAGAATCTTTTCAGGCTTTCTTTTTTCCAGCAATCCAATGAGCAAGAAAATTAGGACTGCAGATTGATTCTACGTTTCTAAAGGGTAAGCCACCCTTACAAATTTCATGAAGAAATTTCTCAATAATGACCACCAGAGGCTGCTCATCTTCTTCAACTTTACAGGGATGATTTAATTTTTCAAGCCTCTTCCTGAATAAATAATCCTGGATTTGAGTTCATCTAGGCTTTGCAAACTCCTTAGGGTGTTTTTTTTCCATCTCTGCTTGAATTCTATTTTGTGGTATTAAAATATTTTTCAATGGTATCAATTGTTCAATCAAATGTATCACATCCAGTAGCAATTTGGCAAGTTATTTGACAAATATTTCAAAATTTCAGTCTCTAATATGATGCATTTATTACAAGAAATGAAGAAATGAGCTGTATTACAGCAGCATGAGATCCCCATGTTACTAACTATGGATAATGATAACCAAGCACATATACATGGTTATATTACAAAGTTTAGTTTAGTTTACTTTATTGTCATTGCACCTTGTACAACGAAATCAAACACCATCTTCAGTGCACATCATGACCATGACCATGAAAATAAATACAAACACACACCTTTCACCCTTTACACATTGAACCAGAAACCCCCGACACCACACCAACATTGCACTACACAGCAGAATTCAAAAGAACTACTGCTCTGGGACAGAAGCTGTTTTTCAGAATCTGTTGTACACAGATTCAAGTTTTAAGTATTACACAAACATACTTTTCAAAATAATATTTTTCTAAGATGGTGGGGAGATAAAATGCCTGCTGATATGCACATCAGACAGAAAACTGATAATATTGTGGTCCCTCATTGAGCAGATTTCTCTTAATCGTTATTTCATCAGAAGCCGCAGAGAAAAACTGTTTGTGAGCAATAGTTCTATCATATTTTATTCAAACTACTGAAAAACTACAACCTGAATTCAGCCAAATATGTATAATTTCAAAAGGCCTGTCAGCATGAACTACTCACTTTCGTTTTTTAAACTTACGTTCCGTAATTATCTTGTTATCAGTATTTGTTTTGCACTTCTTTAATATTGTCAGAACTGCCAGCTTCAGCTTCAGCCTTGTTTACTAGATGCCAGCCATAAACTATATGAGGAGGAAATTGCTAGAATTGTGGGAAGGGGAAACTGAAGCTACTCATCATGCCATCCTGAGACATCGCCTCCGCATCCCAAGGCCAGAGGCATGGGAGAGGAAGCACAACAGCTCACCATCTAGCCCAGACACATTAAACTCAAGGCCTAAGGGCCAGATCCAGCCTGCAATGTGGTTGGATCTGGCCCATGGGGCCACCCTGGAAACAGCAATGGGCTGGCCCCACCTCCTCAGCCTTGATGCACCCCTTAGCACTTGGCCACCAGCAGCCCTGCCTTACCCTCTCCTGCCCTTCCCTGGTGATCTCCCATCTTATCACTGAGGATGTTTTGCTTACAAAGCCAGGTCTCTTTACATGGAGTAGGCTTTCCTCTGACTCACGGACTTTGCCCTCCCGCACCTACCACGAGCAATCTGGCCAAGAGAGTGAGCCAACAGCAACAGACTTAGGTAGAGGTAAGTGCAGCTGGGGGCTCCCTCGGGGAAGTGGGGCTGGGCTGGGCTGGGCTGCAGGATCCCAGTGCCCTGGGACTTTGAGGGCCAAGCTGGGTGCTTGCTGTCCACTGCCCAGGGCTCCGGGCAGCCCACACTGCCATCTGAGGATCCTCGGTGTGGCCTGAGAAGGACAGCGAGTGGTGGACGAGGGTTTGGACCTCACCTTGGTTTTGTCTTCCTCTGCGGGAGACCTCCCATTCCCTCCTCCCAGCCTTGCCAGGCCCTCCCTATAGGAAGCAGAGGAAGACACTGCTGAATGTGGAAGGAAGCACGGAGAAGAAAGTTTGTAGGAAGCAGTTTCCTCTGAGTCCAACTTCTGCCTTGACAGATCTCTGAAGAGGAGGAGGGGGTGATGGGAGAGCTGCATGAGGAAAGACTGCCCCAACAAGCCAGCATTCTTACCACACACGATTGGAAATGGGGATTTCCTTTTGAGAAAATCCAGCCTCCCTCATGCAGGATCGGGAAATGCTACTCCGCTGCCTTCCTCTGCCTTCAAGGAAACTGCTTCCTGCAAATTTTCTTCTCCGTGCTTCCTTCCACATGCAGCAGTATCATCTTCCGCCTCCTGTTTTGTTGGCAGGGGCCACTGGACAGGGAAACACCAATGATGTCTGGGATTGGGAGAAGAATGTCTCCTTTGACATGCTGTGGACATCACACACGCGTGCTTGCATACACACACACTATTCCAACCTTGGAGACTTTTATCCGCATCTGAGCTTGCAAACTGCCAATCATGGCTGGGCTTGGGGAAAAGGCCCTTTCCTATCTCTGTGGATAAAAGCCCCCAAACATAGAATGTGGTATGTGAGAGTGTGCACATACTTGGCTGCCAGCAGTTTGGGGAAGTGGTAGCTGTGAAGCACCAAATTGTTCCCATGTCAAGTTAGCTGGTGCAACTTGTTCTATTCCAATTCAGCTGTCCCGAGTCAGTTGCACCTAGTATGCGGCACTGTGAGTTGTCATAGTCTTACATGTCATTGGCCCTTTGAAAGCAAACCATAATGCTGATGCAGCCCTCAATTAAATTGAACTTGATACCATGATTTAGCCTGCCAATGCAGGGACCATTAGCAAAACAAATCATTTGAATGTAACTGGACAATAAAGAGAAAATGGAGAGGAAGGAGGAATGGGAAAGGGAAAGTTAACCAGGAACCTTCATGCGTAAAATTTAGTTTTGGCTTTGCTATACTGTACTCACTGTACAGTATGTACAGTTGTAACCACTGTACTCTTAGTATAAGTATACCCTTAATATAAGTATACGTTTCACACAAATGGAGTCAGGGGTCTTTTTTTCCAAAGAAACCAAAGAGGGACAAGTGTGACACACACATTTTAATCATACTGTTTCTCAACATATTGTAATATAAAAATATTTTCCTGCTATAGAACAAGAAAATGAGGATGTCACTTCTGCTTGGAAATCCTTAAATGGGTTCTGGTCACCGTTATGTGATGATAGATGTACTTTCCTTCTCCACACCTTTCCTAAACTATTGTATAGTTGAATAAAAACAACACATAATATGAAGATGAAACTTACTTTCTTTGTCCTGTAATTCTTAAAAAACTGTTTTTCTTCTCATTTTTCATCATGTATACTGTGAAATAATTCTTATTTCATTAATTTTAGTTTAAGGTTTTTATATGTAATCATTATGATTTTTGCATTAATAGGTGTAGTAACAATAGAGATCCTGCTGTGCCTAATACACCTGGGCCTCTTTGCATGATCTCACTCCCTGTCCCAGTCTGGTAAGTCCCGGACTTGTACAATGATCTCATCTATTAACATTACCACTATTCTTAAGGATTGGTGGGAGTTTTCACCCAATGCTAATGCTGTATCTATGTTGCCTTTTTCTACTTTAAACAACCATATAAAAGGAATAAATGCTGCCCAGGCAGTCAGACATCTTGGCACCCTGTACAATGACTGGTCTTTGAACTCCATCAAATAGGTTACATTTCAAGCTAAGACATCAATAGAACATTTCTAATCCTGTTTTGCTTCTTATCTCTATATCAGCATGCACACATATATGTGTGTTTATATCATTTTGAAAATATAATTCTTTTTTTCAGGTGGAACAATAAATATAATTATTTTGTTCAGATGGAAAAAATGAAAAATGCACATGAATCAAGGAAGAAATAATATTGTTTCTATGTGAGAGAAGTGCTCAATTTCTGCAAATTACTATGGGCCAAATTTTCTTTTTTAAATAAGCTCCCTTAATAAATAATTCCATAGCACTTTCTATAAATTTCTTATATATGACAAGCACTTGTAGATAAATAAAACTCTGAAATTCATGGTATAATATGAGTTATCAAAGAAAATATACCCAAAGTACTATCTTACTGCACATTTCCCCATGTCTATTGCTATAATATCTAAATTTCAAATAGAAAATAGATTAACTTTGAAGCTGGATTTGATTTTTTGCAGTTGGCATTGTGTTGCTGTGCTGTTTCATTTTTCATTTTTCATTGTTTAATTTTAACATTTAAAAGCACAACTTGAAGCTGAAATAATGCCTCATTGAAACTGCAGAATTAAAAAGAATGTTCAATAGGATGTGGTTTGTTTCTTTGCTGATAAGAAATTAAGATATCACATTGGCATCCATGTTGTGGATAAGGAATGTTAATTGAAATACTTTGGATCTTAGAAAATATATTTAAAAATTAAAGCAGTTGTTGTAAAACAATTTTTAACTATTCCATGCAGGCAAAACAAAAACAACTCAAGTCAGCTGCACTAAGGCGGAGAAAGGAGGAACAACATAGTGGCAAAGGTTGTTAGAGTCAAGCTATGTTCAGTTTCTAATGCTTTTAAGCACACCTACCACCCCAGCTGGTAGAGTAGTGGATGCTATTATAGCAGTCACAATAAAAATGGGTCAAAAAGCCTTTAAGAATTATTGGTAAGAAAGGATATTTTCAAAAAGTATTGTGGGTGCATGTATGTGCATTTTGATGCTTTAATTTGTATACATAACAATAATTCAATTTGCAAAAAGAGTTGAATAAAACATAATGCTTCTACATCCATAACTTTAGTTTAAATAAAGATAGTTGTTAGGATACGTGCAGAGTAACCCTTGTATAAAAAGGATATGCACACGGAAAACGGTTTATGAGAACAGTTATGAAGAAATATACAGCCACACAGAGTTGAACAAGTTGTATTAATGTTTACTTGAAGAAATAGCACAGTCCAATAAACAGTCCATGTCATACACGTTTTTATCAGTCCAGAAATATCCAGTTATAAAGTCTTCTTACCAGTTTCAAGTCTTTTACAGCAGACAAATATCAAACCATAATACATCAGATAATCTTCAATATCAACAGAATATCAAAATAAACAGTTAGTCAGTTAGTCAACAGAGTTAGTCAGTATCGGTCCGTAGTCAGTATCAGTATAAAGAGAGATCATCAGTGAAAAAGAGACAGAGAAAGAGAATTAAACCATGATCTATAGCTCCCTTTTATGGCAACTTGTAGCATAATTAACCAACCAGAACACAGCATAATACATTACAGTATTTTTCCTTAAAGCTACAAACATATATATTTGTAGTTTATATATTGTCAACCCAACTACGTTATTTATATATACATAACATTCTTCCCTTTGGGTTGGTCAATATATAATACATTATGTCTTTAATTCATAATTTTTTCACAATTAATAACTCATACAATTTCATAGAGATTGGAAGATTCTTTAACTCTACATACAATGCTTGTTTGAACTCTGTTATATTTACGTCTCTCTAATTGACCTTCTTGAAAACTCAGTACATGTTATTTATTTTCTTCCTCTACCTCCCCAATCGAATCTTTTTCAGTTATAGATGGTTCGTCTTTTACTGATTCATCAATATTCATATCATTTTTATGATCAGTGAACAATGGAGTTTTTACAATAATACTATGTTTTTTTATTATTATATTCTTGTTTAAACTTTCACCAGCCAACATGCTCCAGAAATTTAGCACTTGCACTCCAATATATATTAGTAGTATCTGGCTCCCAAAATTTAAATAATCTATGATTAGCTCCATAACCTACAAAATACAATTTCTTATCTCTATATTGTCCCTTTTGCCTTACTTGCGTGGGAATATGAACCCATGCTGGGGTTCCAAATGCATGCAAATAACTAAGATCTGGTTTTCTTCTATGCCAACGAGTAAATGGTAATTCACCAGTCATTAAATTTATTACATTATTCAAAACATGGTTAGCACACA